CTTTTGAAGTGGTTTTGGGAAGGTTATGAATAATCAGTGTCTTATATTTTGTAGAAAACTATTTGAACAAACTGTTCAGAGAAATAGAACCACGTGTCCAAGCCAAACCAAGACATAAATGAGTCACTGCTGTCTTAAATCGACTCCATTTGCAAAGCTTTCATAGCAGTTCAAGCAAACCCAAATCATGAATCTTTACACTGCTGTCAGGGTCACATGACACACTTATTTACACAATTCTCACATAGCAGCAGCAGCTAGCTATAGCACGTCAGTGCAGCTTGGGACTCTTCGGCACAAATCTTAGGATCAGATGACAGAGATTTATAAAATATCATCTGCATGAACTGCTTTGAAATATTTAGGATTGTTGTAGGTTGATGGTTGTTTTTAAGAGATCCTCTTTCAGGCAGCACGGTGGCTCAGTCGGTAGAGCGGTTTCCTCTCAGCGAGAAGGTTGCCAGTTCAAATCCTGGCCTGGGACCTTTCTGGGTGGAGTTTGCATGTTCTCTCCGTGCATGAGTTTTCCTTACGGTTTCTTCCCACAGACCAAAAACATGCGTGTTAGGTTGATTGGTAACTCTAAATTGTTCCTAGGTGTGAGTGAGAGAGTGAATGATGATTTGTGTTGTTTGTCTCTATGTGTCCCTGTGATGGACTTGTGACCTGTCCAGGGTGTCCCCCGCCTCTCGCACAGTGATAGCTGGACATGGCACCTGTGACCCGAAACGGAAGAAACAGGTAAAGATGATGGATGGATATCCTCTTTCGTTTTGGCTCTACTTTGACTAGCTGTTAGCTCATCTGTCCCGTCAGATTTAAATTTATTTTCTACAAATTTAGGTTCTTCAAAGAGTTATCTACAACAGGTGAGATACTCATAGTTTAAAAGATTTCTAAAAACCTCACTTCAAAAGATTGAAGATTGAAAAGACTTGTTAATTCTTGTCCTTTAACTTTTATGACCATTCTTGTGGGAAATTGTCCACTTTATATTTTCTCCCTCAATAAACTAGTAAATTACTTAAAACTATCTCAACCTGAAATAAAAAATGTCAAATTTTAATTTTTTTTATTTAATTTTTTTTAACTTTTTTTAAGCGCCTTCAGTTTTAGTTTGTTTATTTATTTATTTTTAATTTGATATATAAAAAATTATATTTGATGACAATTTCTGAAATAAATAATTTTAAAAAGCATTTTCCCTCTTTAGTACATCCAAAGAGATTTTTTTGACAATTTTTTAAAAGTACCAGTCCAGAGTTTTGTGAAGACCGGAGAGCCCACGGGAACTTTCAGATCTTTTCAGTCAAACTTACTCCTGTCTGTCCGTGGCTGGACATAGAGGTTTTTTAATAATAAAAAATATATATTTATTTACTTTACCCAGGCACAACTTCATTTTCTGATTTTAATTTTTTTAGCAAGCTGCGGGAGTTTGGTACACCCGGTAATGACGTCCTGCTTTGGGGGAACTAATGGCAGTCAGCCGTGGAGCATCCAATTCTGCAGCCTGCATGCATATGGAACATCTTTTTATTTCTAAATGTTTATTTGTGCACATTACAAGAGAGTTTTTGGATTTTAAATTCAAACTAAAAGGATTTTGTCGAACGAAATGACAGCGACTTCTGGCCTATAGGAGGTACTGCTTCTAGTGTAGGTTGAATTTTTGTCTAGAAACATTTCCAAAGAGGCTCTCAAATGTAAAAGCAGAGCGCCACCTAGTGAGCTGATGTAAAAATCAGAAGTATAGGTATAGAGGTAAAAAGAAAAAACATCACTGAGGAATGCATAACATTATGATATGGGATCAAATGTTGTATATACAGTGTTTTTTGGTCAGTTTATCCCCTAAGGAACACAAGAGTGTACAGTAAAGTTACTGTGAGGTTATGAGAGCGTTTGAAACATTTCTGACAAAATAAAAAAAAAACGTAGAAGGACTTTTAGACTTTGTCATAAAAAGTGTTTATTGAGCGCACCCACAAAATAAATAAAGAAAAACACATTCAAGAAAATATATAAAAATGCGTCGCTGATTTTCCCCCAAAAAGCAATGCAAGGGTTAATTCAGGTCTAATAAGCAGTAAAATGAACTGTTTTTTATTTAATTGGTTTTAACTTCTTATTTACATCTAAATACGACATTGATTACATTTATTATGGCCAGTGTTGTGTCACAAAACTTGAATGTTCATTTATGTTAATGCCCAATCATGGTGTGAACAAGATTAATTTTGAAGTATCTAAAAAATAAAATTGTATATAGAACATTTCACCCATGAAGACTAAAGATGACAACCCAAAATGTTTGAGTTGAAAACATCTTTAGTTCCTCATCTAAAAATAAATAAAATAAACACAGTTACGAGAGCAAAAGAGTAAAATCATTAAATGTGGATTATTGAACATCAGATCACTTTCCTCTAAATCCCTGTTAGTGAATGATCCGATAACTGATCATCTTACTGATTGATTCTGTCCGACAGAAACCTGGCTAAAACAGGACAATTTTGTTAAATAAATGAATCCACTCCATCTAATTATTTAAATGTTCATGTTCCTAGAACAACAGGTCGATGTGGAGGAGTATATTAAAATTTTCAGTCATAAACCAATTATTAATTATAATACTTTACTGTCCCTCAGTCTTTTTCATGTAAAATGGAAATCAGATAATCCACTCTAACTAGTTGTTACGTATATATCGCCCACCAGGCTCCTATGCTCAGTTTTTGTCTGAATTCTCAGATTTCTTGTTTGACTTACTATTAAATAAATAAATAAAGAAAGAAAGAAAATCCTAATGTGTTGTCATCATTGTGTGTTCCCATACAATTGCGAAACTGGCTTTGCATTTAACCCATCACACTGGGATACACTCAGGTGGAGCAGTGGGCAGCTATGTGGGTGCCCGGGAAGCAATTGGGGATTGAGTGTCTTGCTCAGAGACACCATGGCACATGGGAATGGCTGGGAATCAAACCTGGGACTTTCGAGTCCTGAGTCAGCTGCCCCGCCTCTGCCCCTGCCCCATCTCGGCCCCCAAAATAAATACTGATACTGGATATTGGATTAAATACTGATAAGGTCATAATAATGGGAGATTTCAATATTAATGTAGATGTTGAAAGTGATAGCTCAAGCATAGCCTTTAAAAATTTAATAGTCAATTGGTTTTGCCGAAAACGTCCACACATCTACTCATTCTCATCATCACACTCTTGACCTGGTTCTGACTTATGGCATCGAGATTAACGACTTAGTAATACATCCTCAAAATACATCCTGTCTGATCACATTTTAATAATCTTTGACATTACATTAAATGATTACACAGTCACTGAGAGTAAATTTCACCTTAGCAGGTGTTTATCAGAAAACACTGTAAACAAATTTAAAGATTCTCTTCCATCAATGTTTTCCTCTGTCTTGCAGAGTAATACATCAGAGAACAGTGACTTAGATCATCTGATTGATACATTTACAACTTCTATGCAAACTTCACTTGAGAAAGCTGCTCCGCTGAAAAAGAAAGTAATCAGTCAGAGAATTAGCTCCTTGGTTCAATTCCGAGTTATGTACTTTAAAACAGGCATCTAGAAAGCTGGAAAGAAAATGGCACTCCACCAAAGTTGAAGACTTTTATTAAATTTGGAGAGATAGTCTGCTAACTTATAAAAAAGCCCCCCATAAAGCTAGAACTTTATATTATTCATCTTTAATTGATGAGAATAAAAATAACCCCAGGTTCATTTTTTCTGCACCACAGCTTAATGAAAAATGAGTCTAGTTCTGCTGGAAGTTTCTTCCTCATGAGGGAGTTTTTCCTTTCCACTGTCGCCTTTAAGCTTGATCAAGATGAGTCTGCGATGACGTTAAACTCAAAGCAGTCTACTCCTCAGATAATTAATGTTATAGATTTACTTTTATATAAAAGAATGTTTTTGTTCAGAGCCCTGAGACGACTTCTGTTGTGACTTGGCGCTATATAAATAATCTGAACTGAATTGAATCTAGCTTCGTTTAATACCAACATTCTCATGTGCGCTCTTAAGTTTTTTTTCTCAATCTTCTGTTTTGGCTGAAGTGTCTCTAACATTCTTTTAAGCAGAGTCATGAGCTGATTTTTTTTGTCAAACCACCTAAGCTATGAACAAAAGTTATGTCTTTCATGGCCAAATTCAACCATCTGAGTCAGATATCTAAAAAAAAAAAAGTTTCAGTTACATATAAATGCTAAATATCTAAACACAGTAAAATAAAACAGGTCTGGTATGTGACAGGTATTGGTCAAATTGCAGTAGAAAACTAAATAAAAAACATTTTTGGCTGATTTTCTGTTTCACTCAGTCTTTAGTTTGTAATCCTTCATCGTTTTTCTGCCCATGATGGATTTTTTTTGTTTGTTTTTCCAACATTCTTTCCACTCTGCCAAAACTTTTTTTTTTTTGGTTTCACCAAGTTACATTACAGGAAATTGGCACAAGATGGATTTATTTGAACAGCGTGCGTTCCAGAGAGGTTTTTTTTAATGCATTTCCAGAATCTTCCTCTTCAGTTTTGTAATGGACTTTGGTTAACACCCACCTAGAAACAACATCCATCTGGACTCGCAGCCGAGTAGGAAAAGAAATGAAACCCATCAGTGAGAGCTGCTTCAGGAAAACATTAAACTGTTTAACTTTAAAAACACCCCTAAAAATCTCCCCCTGCATCGTTGCTGCAACAGATGGCCAAACTTCACCTCAAGGTGAGGGTGTGGGAGGTAAACGCTGAGTCGGTGTGCTGCAGCTGTTCGCAGGGCAGAGTACCACTTTGGATCTTAAAGTGTTTCTATAGAAACTGGAGCGAACGGCTGTGATGAGCCACAGATTCAGTCAGCGAACACCACCCGCTCCGCCTTCATCTCTTTGTGTCAGACACTCCAACGTGTTTTTTTTTAAAGTTCTTATCGGTCAAAGCTCAGCAAAAATACAACAAAGAAACTTTCTTACCTGTCCGTGGTACCTGCCCTCTTTAGTCGACTCACAAGTCAGCGTCTTTACCTCTCTCTGCCTCACACTCTTTTTCTTACCCTCCCTCTTTCTCTCTTCTCTTTCCCCAGTTTTCAACCCTCCCCTCCCTTTTTCTCTCTTCTTCAGTGGACACACCAGCTTCTGGGGCTTATTTTTCTCTGAGGGCCACAGTGGTCCTCACCGCCCCTCTGCTTGGCTTTGTTCCAGACTGATTTAATCTTCATTTCTTCTGCAGAACTTGGGGGGGCTCTTTCATGGGTTTAAACTGAGTCACATTTTGTTATTGTTTGGTTTTAGTCCACCAAAGAATGAAGGAATCTTTCTCTAAGGTCAGACGTAAACCCCACAGTGGTGCCAATGTATTTCTCTGCACAAGCATGCATCTCAACGTTGGGAACACTGGGGCTCTTGTTGGGAAAATCCCATCAAGATGCCTCCCACCCACTTCACCATTGTTAGGATGACAGCACACAGATCCAGTCATGTGTTTTTCATTAGCAGCAACTTTGCTCTGATCCCATGGCATCATTTCAGTGTCCCTCGAACCTCCAGCAGAATTCTGTTCCTGTGTCCAGCCAAAGAAAACTCCTGCAGTCTGATCACTGAGGGCCAGCTGAGGTGGAGGATGTCGAGGCGGAGCTTTAGGAAAGTAAAGCTGAGTTGCACGGTGATCAAATATGCATTGAGCCTTAATGTGTGTGTGTTCAAATGTCACTGGGGCTTTAGAGATGGACATGTGTTTACTGGACTGCATTCCTGCAGCATGAGCTGCAGCCGAGCAATAATGAGGCAAACACATGTGGGGATCTACACGCCTTTTTCTCCTGCTTCCTTCTCCGTCATCACCTCTAACCAGGTCACTTTTCCTTTTGTTTATGTTTTCCTACAACCCAGTCAGTTTTACAGATATTGAACTAAAACTGGATGTAGTTGTAGTTTGAGTCATAGTTTGAAGGCTACATTGTGCAAAATGTTTAGCCAAACTTGGGCATTAATTAAACATTAGCTAAACTTAAAAATCATCAGTATATATACAGTGCATTGTTCAGGTGGCACGGTGATGCAGTTGGTGCCGCTTAGTGAGAAGGTCGCCGGATAAAATCTCGGCCGGGGGACTATTCTGGGTGGAGTTTGCATGTTCTCTCCATGGGTTTTGTCCAGGTACTACGGTTTCCTTCCACAGACCAAGAACATGCATGTTAGGCTGATTGGTGACTCTAAATTGTTCCTAGGTGTGAGTGAATGGTTGTATCATTTGTTTCTATGTGCCCCTGTGATGGACTGGAGACCTGTCCAGGGTGTCCCCTGCCTCTCGCACAGTGACTGACTGCTGGATATGGGCACCAGTAATCCCCTTGATCTGAAGGGGAAGAAGAGGATGGATGGATGGATGGATGGATGGATGGATGGATGGATGGATGGACGGATGGATGGATGGATGGATGGATGGATGGATGGATGGATGGATGGATGGCTCAAAAGTCAGAAACAAAATCTGACACAAAGTAAAATGTAAATTTTATTCAAAATCATTTCAACCAAATAATGAAGCAAAAGTATTAGGATATCATATTGAATGGCAATAAGAGAAATAAAGTTGTGTTTTCTTACATTTTTTCAACTAATAGTAAGATATGGCAGAATAAATGAGGCAGCAGTTTTCTTGTTTCATGCATGATAATGCACATTTGTTTTTTGTTTTTTTAAAAAGCTCCAAGTTACTGATGCATGAAACCAGTTCCTTTGACTTTTGTTTTTTGATCATTAGAAGTAGTGATTAAAATACTAAACACAAAAAAAGAATCGCATTGGGATAATAACAACTGGCAGAATCCTGTTGGACACTAAAAAATGTTTACAGTAAATCTCCAGATTATGAAGTCTGGATTAGGGTTATGTTTGAGCCTTTAAACATATTCTTGGTTGGTAGAGATTTGTTTTAAAAAACCTAAAGAAATAGTTTGTTGTTCTGAAACATTCATGGATGGAATAAAAATAATTTACAGCGATTTTTAGGAATTTTTCCAAAATGACACACAATGATCATTATACCAACCCTTAAACCCTGACTTGAATATTAGTTTCTTATCTGTTAAAAATGTCTATTATACTTACATTTGACTTAAACTATAATATGTTGTTGTATTTATATACTGAAAGTTGAAACCAGATATTAACTTAAGCTTTAATGAATAGTCACTTAACCATTTTTTGACCATGAAATTGGACTAAACCCTTCTTGTTGATGCCAGTTAGGATTCCTAAAATTATTCCTATTTGATAAATGACCAAATAATGAAAGTTATTTTTTTAGATTTTTTTAATTTAATTAAATTTTTCAAAGTCACAGGTTTACATACAGTAAGATTACTTTGCCTTTAAACAAATTCAGAAAGCCCCGAGGATGTTGTTACTTTGGAAACTCAGGTAGGATAGGCTAGTTGACAACAGTGGAGTTAATTGGAGGCACACCTGTGGATGTATTTTAAGGCTCACCTCAAACACAATGCTTCTTTGTGTGACATCACAGAAAATACCATAAGAATTCGGCCACAATATCCTGAAGGAAACTGTCAACCTCTACAACTCTAGTTCATCTTTGGATACACTTTTCAGAAGCCAGTAAGTGCAACGTCCATCTGTTCAAAAAATTATACTCATTAATAAACACCAGGGACTGTCCTGCCACTGTACCACTTAGGAAGAAGACGGGTGACTTATGTGTAAAATGTGTGCTTTAGCCTCAAAACAAAAGTAAAGAAACCTTGTGGAGCTGCTGCAGAAGCTGGTCAGAGAGTAATTATCCACAGTGAAACCAGTCCTGTACCAACACAGACTCAGCGAGGAAGAAGTCATTCCTCTGAAACCAACGTAAAAATGCCAGATTACAGTTTTGCAAACGAGAGATATTTTTGGAAACACGTCCTGGGGTCTGGTGAAAGTTCAACGATGACCGTTGTTGCGTTTAGAGGAAAAAGGGCGAAGCTTGCACTATCCCATCTGAAGGACAGGTGTGACACTAATATAGTGTGAGGGTGTTTTGCTGCAGGGGAAAGTGGTGCGCGTCACAAAATAGATGACACAACAAGGAAAGGAGATTATGTGGAAACACTGAAGCAACATCTCAAGACAAGTTTCGACACAAATGGGTCTTCAAACGGACAATGAGTCCAAGCAGAGAGCAAACTTATTTACAAAGTGGCTTAAAAGCAAAAGTCCTGATCTCAGAATTGTAGAATAAACTGTGGGCAGAGCTGAAAAGGTGTTTGTGAGCAAGGCATCCTACAAAACTGATTCCGTTCCACAGGATGTGTCAGAACTTTCATGTAAACTTCTGACTTCAAAGAAAGTAATGAAATGTTGTCTTTCTCATCAAAGTTCATGTTCAATAATCCAGGTAAACAAATCCAACAGAGTTAAGTCAAATCCTCTGGACGGTTTCTTTTTTTGTTGCAACGTTACGTCTTTCATCCAAAGGACTTCATCAGTCTAAGGAGCCACAGCAAACTCAGTCCCACAAGCAGCACACTCCCATAGAGGACCAACCGGTTTGTTGGTGATAAGATGGTTTCAGGGGTCTTTCTTTTTGGATGGAGGATGAAATGTTTCAACAAAAAAGAAACCGTCCAGAGGACCTGAATTAACTTTGCTGGATTTTTTTTTTCTGGATTACTGAGCATGAACTTTGATGTTTTGAACCACTTTGGCTATGACTGCCTCAGAGGAGTTGACGGGGTGGGGAGAGGGTGGACTCCAGAAACCAATTATCACCATCAAACTGGTTGGTCCACTATGTGAGTGTGCTACTTGTGGGACTGAGTTTGTTGTGGCTCCTCGGACTGATGAAGTCCTTTTGGATGAAAGATGAAATGTTTCAAGAAAAAAAGAAACTGTCCAGACAACCTGACTTACCTCTGTTGGATTTCCCATTATTTTGAGAAATGTAAATAATTGTAGAAGTCCTATTGGACCTAAAACAGGAAAGATTTAGTCTGATTTAATGTCAGACAGTGAGACAAAAAAATGGTTGTGTCTTAATGTGCATGTGTATGTAAACATCTGGTTTTGACTCTACCTTCTTAATCAGAAGTTCATTTTCTTGTTTTAGGACACTGTTTATATATATATATATATTTTTTTTTTATATATTTTTTTTTTTTATATATGTTTTAAGAGTGGGATGCCACAGCCTGTGTCTCATGGTCCTTGTTGTCCATTAGAGTTGAAGCAGCTATGAACAGAGAATAAAATTATGAAGTTGTTTTTTTGTTTTTTTTTCTTTCACACAGAGTCACATGACCTGTGGATTGTTACTCCTTACCATGCCACGTGCAGAGCCTGGACAGAAACATCCTGATGTTTGGATCCCATTTATTCAGGACCAGAGCCAACTGGTTGATCCAGGGGATGAGATCCATGTTTATGAAGCTGAAACCTGCTTTTACCGCAGGAAATCTTTAAGCAGCGGTCTTTCTCGGTGCACTTGGTACACACCACAGCAGCTGTTTTCAGAGCAGACTGAGGCAGAGCACAGGCAGGACCACGTTCAATACCATAATGGTTTGAGTGCATAATAATCTGGGAACTTTCCAGGAACTGTCTGTTCTTTCATCAGCAGAGAAGTTTGGATGGCTGAAATGTTTGGTTTAAATACATAACTCAGGATTAATCAGCCAGAAATGTTCCCACAGCTGTAGGAGTGCTAATATGTGCCACAGAAATGACCAGTTTTACTAAAGTAACATGAAGCTGCAACATCTTGTAAGATTTAGTCCAAGATTTAAGCCCAAATTCCAAACATTGTAACCCCATACTGGTAAAGTTAACAGTTTTTACAGCATTTCCAATTGCTTCTCTGTTGCATATTGCACAAAAACTGACAATTTCAAGAAGATAAAAGCTGCACTGATGCTCAATTTGTTGGGTAAAGATGTTACTAAACAGTTCATGATGTTCAAAGGAATATGACTCAGGGTTTTGGGGGAGAAACATCCATCCATCCATCCATCCATCCACCTATCCGTCCATTTTCCTGTGTTAG